ATTTGATCTTTCCTCGCTTTGCTGATCTGGCTAACAACCTTGGTGTCGAATATTGGCGCACGAAGCGATTCTATCAAAAACGCTTTAACGTCCCGGGTCGTAACCAGAGGAGGTAACAGTTGTAAGGTCTCTACGGCGTCGAGTCGAGGATTGTGTCGACTGATAAGGTCGAGAGCGGGCTGCAATAAGTCTGTTGACGTTTCGACCGTGGGTCGCAGATAGATCCGGCACAATGTGAGGAATACACTGCTTGATTCTGTGCCAGGTTGATAGACACGTTTACAGTACCTTGTGGCTGGTTTGTGTAATGGGTAAGGGAGATAAGTCATTGGACTTACTGTTCCGCTTTCAAGTAATCGTGTAAACGGTAGACGTACAGCTCGAGAGCTTGGTCATGCCGCCCCAGTCGCCCGAGAAGGATGGCTCTCGCTTCATAGAGATCTGAACAGAAAACTCAGTTTTAATTGACCAACAGAGATCAGAAAGGGTGTTACCCGTAGACGAGAGCAAACCATACAGCCTATCAACACCAAATCGATCGTTTGTATCCACAAAGCTGAGTAGTTTTGCGTACGCTTCCTTTCGTGTTTCTAAACTGAGAGGTTAGATCAGTCACCAGAAATCGACACAAGACTTACTCTCGTCACCTCTCTTCCCCGCAGTAACCGTCATGCTGAAGTAAAGCTCTGCTGACCGATCGTGGAACGCAGGATTCTCTTCTTGCTTGTCCGCAATGACATATTCAAGGTATTGGGCCGCCAATTTCGGGTCGATCTTCTCCAAGTAATCTGTAACGGATTGTCGTGGAAGTTCTACGTCTTCCGATGTAAATATCTACGCCAAGTTGAGGACATTGTTGGAGTGGAAAGAAGTCGAATGCGTACCCTGAAGGCGATATTCTTATCCATGCTAAAAACCCATCTTGATGACTCGAAAATCTGCTTAATATGTTCAGGGCCCAGCTTTTGCAAGTACGTGATAAAAGGCTCCAGCTTGTCTTCCATGTCTGTCTCCTTTTCACTCAATCTATGTCCTTTCCTTAGAGAAAGATCGGGAGCGAAAAGCATGGTTGAAAACTCACTCTCGCAAGAGACCCAACGCCTTTGAATGCATGCCTTTCCCATGATAAAGGTCCCTAAGTTCCGCATATTTCTAGATAAGAAGTCAACGTCCAACTAAATCCGCGCAATTGCGATGACGACAAACCTGACGCGCCCTCAAATCCTCCTCAACCTCACACCAATTCGCAATGCGGCACAACAAGCTCAGCAAAGTCGGTCGAATGATCAAATACGATTTATAGAGCGCCGTGTCCACGATCTGCGCGAACCGTAGAAGCTGTTCGGGAATGAGAGCGGATAAAGGCGCGTTGGGTAGGGCAAACAGGTCTTCGACGGTGGTAGTTGAGAGCGGTGGGTATTTCTCCGCTTGGGTCTGAGGTGTGATGTTGACGACTTCTAACGCAGCTTTGAGCTTCGGTCGACGATCGGCTAGGTAGCGTACAAGTGTTTCGACTGATCGGTGGAGATCATCTACTCGGGTCAAAAGATGAGAAAGAGTTATGGTATTACCTGGGGGAAAACTCACCGTGAAGAACGAATTTCCGTTTACCAATCACGGACGCTGTATCGTCGTCTTTAGCTGCAAA